TATTTTTACGGGACCGTCTTACAGATCCCTATGTGAAGTTAAATATGTTGATGTTATTCTTATGATTTTCTGTATCGCTTGAAAATTCTCGCTGACATCCTGATAAATAGCCGGACGATTGCGGCTCCTGTGCCGTTACCATCATTCGTATTTGTGAGAGCTCGATTATTTTCTCCGTGACTCTCAGCGATTCGCATACTACTCGAAACTTTCAACTTTCATTTTGATAGATTTCTCTGTTGTTCGGAGCTTTATGGACTTATCTCTATGGATTGCTCTGTCGCCCTGAGATTTCTACTACCACCCTGACAAGTTGGTAGAAGGATCAAAATCTTGCACATTGATTTCGGAAGATGATCTTGTAGTCTAAAGTTTTGATCTGAATTTTGCTAGCAGCTGATTGGGGCAATGCTATTTTGTCAGCAGTTTGACGCATTGCTCCTGTAGTTCGAAGTAATTGACCGTTGATACTTCACATTACTGTCAGTGGTGAAGATTATCCCTCTGACTCTGCTACATCTTTGAGTGGAACGAAGCTTTCTGCTCTCAGTGTTACAGATTTTATTATGATTGAAAACTTTTCGTCTTTATTTTTACATATCGTTCTCTGACAGACAGATTCTGACCTTCATCTTTGCATATTGGGTTCCAACTGAAAGCTTTTCTACCGTTACTCTTACCCATGCCCAAAGTTTACCATTGTTTTCGTCTTCTTTTTATATGTGATCTCATTCAATTCGCAGTTGTATTATACAGATTACTGTTTCTTATCTCTTTAATAACTGAAATTGATGAATAGAATAGGAGAAAAAAAAAGAGTCAGACAAGTCATGTGACATAGAGACAACATCATACAATTGAGTTGAACAAAAAGACCAAAAAAACATGAGACAACTGCGAAATAGTGAATGAACACGACTGATAACTAACATCGATTGACAAATCGATCAACTCAAGTAAAGCTAATTATGGATGTCAATGTCATAGATATCTGTCTAAATCGCTTCGAATATTTGCAGCGTCTTGGTGTTAACTATATAATATTCAAAACAGTTTATTCTGCTTCTTGAACCTTCCTAATAATTTACTCACCACAGTCAAGTAATTGACGCCGAAATGTTCTGGGTAATTTTGATCGTGCGTTGTTGTTGATAGAATTTTTTTGCATCTGACACCTTTGGATTTTTTTTTCGAATGATTCGTATTTTACTTTTGCAGCATGGCAAACCTTTGTGTTCTGTTGCTGTCTATATTTGCCTTCTTTTTTTTGTTTTTTTTTAATCTTATAAAATTCACCGAAAGACGACGACGAGTGACGACAAAGAAGCAAAATAGCTCATACTTGTGCAATGACATTCATTTCATATGGAGTACACAGATTGATATTTGTTTCGGTATGATTCGAGATGGTTAGGATCGTTCATAGACAGTGACTAGCAAGGAGACATTTCAGTGCATCTATTTTCGATAACTCGATTACTAATAGTTAATAGAGCATGACTGTTCTAAAAAAGTTCTTGCATCTTATTTCATGTTGAAATAAATAAAAGTTACATTAGCATGAACATGAGTCAATTTTTCTTTAAGATGGTACAAAGATTAATAATTACCAGTATAATTCATTTTTCAATTTAGATAGATATTTTAGAAGATTCGACGCTTCGTCTTCTCAACAAAAAACCAGGAAAGAGAAAAACATTTAGCTTGCTCATTTGAACTTGAACTTCAAAAATACTTACATTCCCAAAGAAATATGTAGAACAAAAATCAGTTTAGTTTTTACCTGATTCTTATGAGACAAACTAATCTTTTAACATTGCCTGTTGTGAATATAAAAATTGAAATGGTAGGTTTAGACCATTTTAAATTCTAGCGAGTATATGTAAGATTCTTTTGAATGCATTCTATCGACTACGGAACCACAAAAATTTATGACACACGTGACAATGTCGACCAGAACTGCCATCCTAGCGTGGTCTGCTCCTGTCCAGATTAGATTAAGCCTGAACTGCACACCAGGACAGGCTGAAGTTTGTGGTCTGGATGACGCGTAGTCATATTTTTTGTGTATTGATTGATTTTGACTAGGAGTGGTATTGCAGATTTAAAATACCCTGGTAAATTTGTTGAAGTTAAAGCTTTACTTTAAACTCTGATAATCACAGTAAAAGTAGCTTGCTTTAATTCTAAGACGAACATTTGTTGCATGTCCCAATTTCCATCATTTTACGTCTGTCTTGTCGTACATGATGTTCTGAATGTATCACTTAATTAGATCCTGTGATAAATGACAGTAGAGTATAGTAATGATATGAACTTTTCCTGTCGATTCTAGCTTAGCTTTAACTGCGAAGGTTCAGAGTAACATCTCACTTTGAAAGTGGAAACTAAGTCAAAAGTTAGTATAAATTCTTGATGATAGATGCTTCTTTTCAACTAATTTACCTTTGCTTGTAGTTTCACGTGGACTTATGATTGAGCTAGAATGTGTCTCAATAGACAAGAAGAATGAATACACAATAGGACTGGAGCTGACTAGTAATGCAATTCAGCTTGATGTCATTCAGTAGACGAAAATAAGTACCAAAATTTTTCGATCGACATTAATAGTATCTTCTACTTTCGATTTGTATGGTTTCTTTCTGACGAAACATATTTTTTAATGTCATAGAACAGCACTGATGGAATTAGAATTATTTGAAAGTTTAGTTCTTTGTATAAACAAGACAGCTTTTTTCAGTCAATTCTGTATATTTTGATTTTCTATTTAGTGGAAGAGTTTGTAATTCCATTATCTTAATTGAGAAAGAATAAACATATGATTGAGATTAGCGCGAAGAAATAAAAAAAATGTCTGATACATATTGTGCAATTATACCCATAAATCTAATAAGAATATTCAACACGTGTATTCTGTTCTGTTCTCCCAAAAGCCTGCAGTCTAGGCCAGGCCAGATCATAGGCCAAGTAGGTCTTTTTTTAGCCTGGCCTGCTTCTCTTACAGGGCTGGACACACCAGGCGACAAGGTGAGACCGAAATATGCACATCTTAAGATTTGTTTCAGAATGAAACATCGATTAGAATTTATTGCCATTAGAAAAAATTAGTATATAACATGAGCATGTTATTTTCTATAATTTTTTTTCTGTGAAACTGTTTGTGATGTCCCAGTGATTCAATGATAGCAAAGTTTTAATGTCTTTTATCTACAGACTGTCAATGCTTACTATCCATATCTTCATAAGAATGTAAATTATAAAGCACAAATATAAAATACTTATCTTTGCTATAGGAAAAATGAAAAGTTAAATGAGATTGTAAAAAAGTGAATATTTTTTTTTCTGTTTGTTTTTGTTTTTCTTCAATATCAAATACGAATAAATTATATCCTGAATTCGAATACGTTTCTTCATTGATCTTCTATGAATGAATTCAAAATTGTATGAAAATACAAAACAAAATTTATCTATTGTATCATTATGTTTACTGGAAAATGATAAATGATAATGATAAAGCATATTTTATATAACTCATCTTACACTTATGCTAAAATTTTGATGTTTAATTAGATCATATAAAAAAAAGAAAAACAGAGCTATTGATTTTTTTTATTTGTCTTCTTCGTAGTTATTTTAAATTTTCATTACCGATTATCGCTAAAACGAAAACTTCGAAGAATGGCAGCAACATTCGAGATAATCATTGTTTCTATTGTAATTTGTTTTTATTATCTCAAAAAAAATACAGAGTTCTCACTTCAAAAATCGTCATATTATGGAGCAAATTGAGAAAAAACGGAACTTCGTAACAATGTTTGAACGAAAACTATACGACTCTCCAATCTTTAGACCATCGCGTCACAAAATAGCGATTCGAATGGAGTGTCTGGCACACGAACTAAGGTCATCGTATGAACTTGGTGCGAAGCACACTCTCAAACTGGACTCATCATTTATGAGATTATCAAACTTTCCAGTTAGTCGAAACGTCGAATTCAAGGATGAAAAACATATTTGCAGATTGCATAAAGTGTAATGATGAGTTGATTGCACGTTTAACGATGCAAGCCACAAATAGATTATCAGCAAATAAATCGGATTTTTCGTTAATTGAGAATCAGTAAAGACTGTGATTACATGTTTGCATTGGTAAGGGTTGGTATTGATATGGGTATGGATTAGAAGAAAATTAATATTTAACATCATCCACATCCACACTCACATCTCACACCCATAGTTTGTCTTCGTTTTCATTCTCTCGTAGCCTTAAAAAGAAAGTTGTCAAAGATTTGTCATTTCGAGGCTCTATTTGTAAGCGAATGGAACATCTTCTGAAAAATTTTTAAAAAATGGTCTTATTTCGATCTCGATACTTTCATATCGCGCTTCAAGGAGTGCTTTCTGAGTTTTCGTTATCGTTGACGAGACTATCAAACTTTCGACTACGTCGAAATTTCCAATTAACAAAAAAATAATATCGTGGTCACCAGGCTTGTTTTAGGGGCGTGGATCTGGTTGAAGACGAGGCCCACATCTACATCCACACCCTGAGTCGAAAACGACTCAATTCTATCAGTTGTAACAGACTTCAAAAATATTCACCCATTTTGATACAACACTTCGGAAAAAAAACCGTCGATACAGCGCACATTAAACTTGACTGTATACCAGCCGTAATTTTCACATGGATAATTCACATCAACTCTGTAAAAAGCTGCAAGTCCCAATTTAATCTATTGTTGGGTTCGGATCTGGGTCAAGTCGACAAAAACGTTGACCCGCAGCCTCCTACAACTCTCACTCTGATTCTGATGCAGGGCTGTAGTTCCGGCAAGCTCTATTTTCATTATCATTGCGATTGCCAAATATGTTATAATTCTTTGAAATTTGTTCTAGTATGAAATGAGTTGACACGGTCTCTACAGGATTAGTTTGAAGAATTTTATTCACTGTTCTGGAAGGAAAAACTTTATTTAAGAAAATGAAAATAAAAACTAAATTCAATTAAAAATATCAATATCTAATTGCCATTGATTTTTTCCTTCCGAAGTACGTTTCCATATAACTTGATAATTTCCTTTATCTAATGAATGTTGATATGAACTTGTTTCAATTAATCGATCATTTCCTGCTTCTAAAACAGTTCCTGTTGTTAAACGTAAATTATCAACACCAGCATCTCGTGCAGCTTGCCAAAATTTTTTAATTTGTTCACGACCTTCATATTTATTTTTATCAGGTGGTAAAAGTTTTCCTTCAGATGTATAAAGATTAACTAATTCATCAAGTTTACCAGAATTAAAAAGTTCTTCAAAACGACGATTAGCAGCATCAATTGTATGAAATGATGTCGACATGATGACTATAACAAGTTTTCTTTTTTTGTTATAAATATTTATTATAAAGCAGTAACAAAAGTATTTATATCTCTTCTGATAAGAATAAATTTTGTTTTGTAGTTATATTTATAAGATAAGAAGATTTTTACCTTGATTCAAATGTTTTTCTTTTTTTTTGTTTTTAATGAGCGATTTTCACTCTTTTGATTTCAAATTATAATCACAAATATATAGAGAAATAAGAAGCAAAAAAAAAAACAAACGAAAACAACGTTATTATATCACAAAATTGACACGGTTATTTATAATTA